ATTTACTGACTACCTAAAATTTAATGTCAGCCAAAAGAAGCATATGCAAATCATTAAGAACCCCACTTTGAATTAATAACTTAACAAAAGATGCAAGGTAGATCAAGTTTATTTTAAATGTTCAACATAATACAAAATTAATCAAACCAAAATTACAACAGCAAGGTGATGTTAATTTATTTCTCCAAAACTGGTAAAGATGATTAAAATTATTACATTTTATGCTGGTTTTGTTAACGATAGTTAGATATGACAATTTGTTAGAGATGAAGATTTATTTTGGTATAACTTTTCTGGAAATAATTTGGCAGTTATTTCCTATTGTACATAAAGCTTTGTTCCTAAAGAGCAGAGAGGTATTTCTAGGAAGAAAAATGTGGAAGTAACAAATATGAAAATGCTTTCAGAAATTGTTAAATATTAGAATACAATAAATAATATTATTAAATATTATGATAATTAAAATTATGCTTACAAAACACTGTGGTTTACATGGTAAATGCTTATGTTATGTTATCAGTTGCAAACATGATGCCAAATTCTGTATACATTATCAATCCTTTAAAAATTATAATGTAAAAAACCTCAGTAAAGTGTATCAAATGTGTAACTAAGTGTGTTTATCTCTACATGTTTATGATTATGGATATTTTAAAACATTTCATTATAATTTTTTCCCAAATTTCTGCAATTATAAGCCTTATGAAGACACTCCTATCCTTTAAGCATACCATACTTAACACTATCTTCAACCGTGAATTTTTGCTTTCCTCTGTAGCCTACTTTCTTGAGGAAGCAAGTGAAATTGTGTGATACTTACAGATAAAATTCTTTCTATTTTATAATCTGTCTCTGTAGTAATCTCATAGATGCCAAAAAGAATATTTCACTATGTTCCATATAGTGTTTCAAGGTCTGGGGTAGTTTTTTCTTTTGCCCCCAGTAGAATTTTCCAGTGCTATTTTATTTTCTGTGTACCAATTGATTTTATCAACTGATTTCTAATTCTACTTCTCGGTATTGGGCTTCTTGGTATTTGAGCTTTGCTGGGCATTGTTTCTAATTTTAACAAAGACACAAAAGATGTTTTTGAGTAAGGTGATTTTTTTTTATAAAGATTTTATTTATTTATTTGACAGACAGAGATCACAAGTAGGCAGAGAGGCAGGCAGAGAGAGGAAGAGAAGCAGGCTCCTTGCTGGGCAGAGAGCTTGATGCGGATCTCAATCCCAGGACTCTGGGATCATGACCTGAGCTGAAGGCAGAGGCTTTAACCCACTGAGCCACCCAGGCGCCCCTGAGTAAGGTGATCTTTAGAATTTTGTTCCTTTCTCACTGTTGCTCATGGTATATGTTTGCATTTCCCTAATCGACACATGTCAGAAGAAGACCACAGATAATATTCTCACCCATCTGACTCTTCATAATATGATGTCATAATTTCTAGAGACATCCCAGAGTGCTGTTTTCTTTTGGAATTAAGTATTTTCTGGATGGTGTCGGATGTAAAGCAGTGATGTTCACTTACAGAGTTGCACATGGACTTTCTTTTTAAATTATTATTATTGTTGTTTGTTGTTTAAAATTGATTTAGTGTTTTTATATTGCCAGATTTTGACTTACATTTATTATGTCAAGAAGAAAGCATAATTTTATTTTAAAAGATCTTATTTATTTGAGAGAGAGAGAGAGAGAGAGAGAGCATGAGTTGGCAGGAGGGGCAGAGGGAGAGGGAGAAGCAGACTCCCCACTGATCAGGAAGCCTGATGTGGGGCTCAATCCCAGGACCTGGAGCCAAAGGCAGATGCTTTAACTGACTGAGCCACTCATGTGCCCCAAAGAAGACATAATCTTTAATTTCACATTACAGATGAGGAAATTTAGGCTTATAGAGATTGAGTAAATTGACTAAATAATGTTGCCAGGTCTTGACAACTGACTATAAGTCTCTGCTCCATCACTGAAAATGTCATATACATAAGGAGACAAATTATACACCTGGACCCATTAAACATAAGGAATAAAAAAAAGCAGTAAAGTAATAGCATAATTCCAGAAAATAGATTACTTGTACAAGCCCTGAAGATGAATTACTAAACTTCTTAGACTTAGGATTATATGAGATTTTCACTTCTGAGTCAGTTATGTTGCTGTGAAACAAGAAACAAATTCTCCTATTTCAACAATGAGAAAACACAGAATTCCAAAGAATAAATATTTGCAGTCATGAATAATTGGTTACTTTGGTTCTCTTCTGGAGTCCAGTTCTTCTTTGAAAAATATTAGTAAATTCTTTTTCAATGCTTTTTGTGTGTTTGTTTCTTTTTTTAAATTTAAATTCAATTAACATATAATGTTATTAGTTTCAGAGGTAGAGTTCAGTGATTCATCAGTCTTATATAATACCCAGTGCTCATTACGTCACGTGCCCTCCTTAATGTCCATCACCCAGTTTCCACATCCTCCCACTTACTTTCCCTCCAGCAATCCTTAGTTTGTTTCCTATGCTTAAGAGTCTCTTATGGTTTCTCTTTCCCTCTGATTTCATCTTGTTTTACTTTAAGCTCTCTCTCCCTATGATCATGTTTTGTTTCTTAAATTCCACATATCAGTGAGATTATATGGTAATTGTCTTTCTCTGATTGACATATTTCACTTAGCATAACATAACATTGTTGCAAATGACAAGATGTCTTTTTTTTTTTGGCTGAGTCATATTCCATTGTATGTGTACACCACATCTTCTTTATCTATTCATCTGCCAATGGACATCTAGGCTCTTTCCATAGTTTGGCTATTGTGGACATTGCTGCTATAAACATTCGGGTGCATGTGCCCCTTCAGATCTCTACATTTGTATCTTTAGGGTAAATACCCAGTAGTGCGATTGCTGGGTCATAGGGTAGCTCTATTTTCAACATTTTGAGGAACCTCCATACTGTTTTCCAGAGTGGCTGCACCAGCTTGCATTCCCACCGACAGTGTAAGAGGGTTCCCCTTTCTCTGAATCCTCGGCAACATCTATCATTTCCAAACTTGTTAATTTTAGCCATTCTGACTGGGATGAGCTGGTATCTCACTGTGGTTTTGATTTGCATCTTCCCAACAATTAGTGATGTTGAGCAGCTTTTCATGTGCTTGTTGGCCATCTGTACTTCATCTTTGGAAAAATGTCTTCATTGGCATCATGTTTGCATCATGATTCAGATCCTCTGCCCATTTTTTAACTGGATTTTGGGGGTGTTTTTGTTAGTGAGTTGTAGGAGTTCTTTATTTATTTTGGATATTAACTCCTTATTTGGATACATCATATACAAATATCCTTTCCCATTCAGTCAGTTGTCTTAATTTTGTTGATGGTTTCTCTCTCTATGCAGAAGCTTTTTAGTTTGATGTAGTCCCGATTGTTTATTTTTGCTTTTGTTGCCCTTGATTTGGAGTCAGATCACAACAATAACAACAACCAAAACCTAGAGCTGAAGAATACACTAGCCAATCTGAAAAATTCAAGAGAGATTCAACAAAAGACTTGACCAAGCAGAGGAATAGATCAGTGAACTTGAGGGTGGAGCTTTTGAAATTAGCTAGTCAGAGAAGGAAAAAAAAAAAGTGAAATAAGCCTCTAGGATTTGTGGGACATCATCAAAAGAAATAATATATGCATTGGGGGAATCCCAGAAGGAGAAGAGACATAGGGGAAAAAAGTCTATTTAAAGAAATAATGATGAAAAACTTCCCAAATTTGGGGAGAGAAATAGGAGAAACATGAACATCCTAGAATGAGGAGGGCTGTGTGTTAATGATGAAAGAGCTCTGTCATTAGGGGCGCAGGTGGCCCTACTACGGATCCTGCTTCCAAAAAAAAAAATTGCCGTAAGGGAAACAGAAGACCTTTGCCTGTGAATTGAGTCATTATAGATTCTACAATATACAAGGGGATCCCATAGGGAACATCAAAGTACAGGAAGGAGTTGGCACCATCAATGCAGTGGCCAAAGGAGAAGCTTGGAGACACGGGTCCCCTGGTACAGGGAACTAGGCAGAGAATAAGATGCAAGAGATAAATCCACAAGAATTTAGAAGCAAGCAGAGATTGCCTTTTTTTTAAAAGATTTTATTTATTTATTTGACAGACAGAGATCACAAGTAGGCAGAGAGGCAGGCAGAGAGAGAGGAAGGGAAGCACGCTCCCCGCTGAGCAGAGAGCCCGATGTGGGGTTCGATCCCAGGACCCTGGGATTATGACCTGAGCTGAAGGCAGAGGGTTTAACCCACTGAGCCATCCAGGTGCCCCAGAGATTGCCTTTGATAGCAAAGGCAAGAGGGTAGGCAACTGTCTTACAGTGATTGGAAGTTAGATTCCCCTTGGGGAGGACTGCAGCGGCGTATCAGCTGCTCAGGGGTCCAAACCAGTCACCTGAGTAATGCACAGGGCACACTTCAGCTAAAAAGGTGGGAGATAAGGGCAAGGAAGTTAAGGGAAGGCCAGCCCATAAAAGGCAAGAAGGGGTTTTTCTGAGATCTAAAGCAGGAAGTAAAAGACGACCCGCCACGTGGCAGTTCCCCCAGCCACTGCCCCCCTACCCCCAAGCTGCAGCCTCTACAGTTCCTCCACTTGCCCCGCCCCTGCCCGGATATGCCAAGGAGCTCCCCGCTCTTTCCTAATATCTGGGCAGTAATGTTGAGGTGAAGGAGGAAGAGAAGTGGGCACAGCAGGTCCTGGACCTTGGAATCGGCGGATGCAGGTCACACTGGCAATAGGGTAGATCATTGTGCAACTTGCCAGTCTTCTCTGGAGCTCAGATTTTTGGACACCTGTAAAATACAGACACTGATGATGCCGTATCACTCACGTGGGGCTTCAGGGGGTTCCCGGTGAGATCACAGCCTGAGGGTGCTCTATATACTCTAGGGAGATACGTGTGTACTGTTATGAATGTCAGTGGCAGGTTTCCAGAACCCAGGTGGAGGAGAGTGAGTCAACAAGGAAGAAATTGCCCCACTTGGTGGGAAGAGCTCTTAGCAGAACGGGGCTGGGCTGCTCAGGTTACAAGACAGGCATAAATAGCTGGTGCCTGCAAAGGAAAGCCTAGTTGGCCTGGAGATCCTGGAGGCCCAGAAGAAGCAACTGTGAGTGTTTCTGTCCTTTGCCGCCTTTTGATTTTCCCAATGCCTGGCGAATATCTCCATGCCCATATGGCTGATTTATCCCACTGGGGCTGTGGAGGCAGGGTCTGGGATGCTGTTCTGGTCTAGGAGGTGTGATGGGTGGGGGGCAGAGTGGGGTAGTGAGGGGTGCTCTTCTGCCCCTCACTGCTCCCTAAGTTCTCTGGGCCGGGGGAGGGTGGATCACTTGGCTGACATCCAGTTGGACCCCAGACACCACTGTCTGGAAGCCCCAGTGGAAAAAGCAATTTCAACTTCTCTCTTAGTTCCACCCCATTGCTGATTTCCTCAGGAAGAAGGGTGGTAGAGGAGAAAAACAGACCAGGCCTTCAGGGGCCTGGGTTCTAAGCCCATCCACGTACCAGCTGCCTGTGGGACATGGACATTCATGCTTCTCTCTTAGACTCAAATGTTTACTTTAAAAAATAGACTTACCGGACTAGGTCACTAATTTTCCAACCAATTTTCAGAGGAGACATTTTTCTCAATAAAATCTGAATCTGAAAGCTTGGCATGAGCACTCTGGGTTGAGGCGCCTGTGGCTTGGCCCACTCTATCTGTCGCCCCTGCTAAAATGCCTCTTCTGAATCGTACGTCTGAAAACCTGTGAGTTAGCTCTTTCCGAGGCCCCTTCCTCCTACTGCTGACCGTGCGGCCTTCTGTGGCATCTTGAGCAGCCGGAAAGAACGCCTGTTGCTTTCTGTTCTTCCCCAGATTTGGGGTGCGGAGCCCCAGAGCTGAGGTAACTGCAGACCAGTGGCCAATGCCCTTATTCCAGCCTGGGTCCTTGGGTGCTCATGACTGAGCTTCTGCCACAAGGCCTGGTGACCCCCTACTCCTTTGCACATGTCCCTCGGGCTTTGTTCCGAGCCTCTGCCACTCCCACAGGCTCTTTCCCTGCTCATAACTTTACAGTTTCTGTCTGAGAGAGGTAAAAGCCCAGGATTGCAGGTGACTCAGGCCCTGTACCTGCCCAGGTCTCACTTAGTCCCCAGGTCCCAGTCAGAGGGTAACTGGATGCCCCATGAGACATCTGCTGTTTCTTATCCCCAAACTAGCCTTCCCTAGACTGAACCCATCTCACACGTCCCCTTCTGCCATGAGGCCTTTCTTTCAAATTCTCTTAGGTCATCCAAGCAGAACGCAACATGTCCCGGGGCTCTCCAGCTGCTAATTTAGTATCTCTGAGAACTTTCACCTGAGTTCTCTATGGGAATTTCCTTACGGAGACAGTGTCTAGTCCAGGGATGGCAAATCACCTGGAAAACAAGCAACCATGTACACTCCTGTGCTCAGGATAGACATCACTAAGCATCTAGGACTAGGACTCCTTTTTAGAACAGTGCTGCCAATGATACAAATGCTAGTCCACCCAAGACAGCAAATGAGAGGAAATGGGTTTGCCTGGTCAGAGCTAAGCCACCTACCTTAATATTATAGGTAGGGAGAAGGAGGTCCAGCAAGGGGAAAGGTCCTTTCTAGAACTACCCAGTGAATCTTTCCCGATGGGGCATATGGCTTCAGTGAGGAATTCTACATCCTAGTCCCTGTGCCAATGGCAGTGTCCAAGGGAAGACCTGAGAAAGGACAACATGGGGCATCTGATAGGTGGATACTGCAGCCAACCCATGTCCTGGGTTCTGTCTGGTAACTCATGCTCTCTCAGGCCAGACCAAATGCTCACCTGGGCCTTACATGGCTTTGGAAGCCCTGTTGTTCTCAGCTCCATAGGATGGTGGGAGGTGGAAAGGTGCTTCTCCTGACTTGCAGGAGCTGGACCAAGCCCTAACCTATGTCCTAGGACCAAGAGCATGTCCTTTCTCTTTCTGTTCATCTGCCTAGGCCATGCTTCTCCTCCCTCTCTCCGTGCTGATGCTGCTCACACAGCCCCTGAGCTCCCTGGGAGCAGAAATGAAGACCTATTCCCAGAGAACAGCGGCCAGCACCTGCACCCTGGTCATGTGTAGCCCCATGGAAAATGGCCTGCCCGGTCGTGATGGACGGGATGGGAGAGAGGGCCCCCGGGGCGAGAAGGGGGATCCAGGTAGAGCTGGGGCCATGGGCTCGTCCTGGTGGAGAGGGGTGGGCATTGGAATTGTAACCAGCCGGGAACGTTGGATGTGCCGCTGTGGAAGGCTCAGAGGTGGACTTCTTCCTCCCCAGGGGTGGGTTTTCCTAAGACATTTGGTCTTTCTGAAACACTGCTTTACCAGTTGAAAACTGACCAGCCATTCTGAGCCCCAGGTGCCTCCCTCCACGACCAGCTGCCCTGACTCCTCCCCTGGAATCTTCTGAGTCCTCCCACCCCAAGAATGAGGAAATAGTGGGGACTTGGAATTTGTGGCTCTCCAGAACCTGGCCCCAGGAATTAATAGTTTTTCGTCCAGATTAAATGGTGTCTGTGCGGGGTGTGAAATATTTTTAATACTGCATGGAGAATGGGAAAGAAGAAGGTTCGGTGGCCCCAGACTCAGGTGTGATCGGAAGGATTTGCACTAGTACATTACAGAGAAAATGGAAGGAAACCCACATTTCTTTGTCCAGCTTTGTACTCGGGCATTCCCTGAGTAATTCATTTAACCCTACCAAACATTTCACAAGGAACTCTATTTGGCTGAGAACATTGTGACGCAGAAAGGTCAAATGACACCCATTGTGGAGGGGGAAAGACACGGGCTTGTGCATCAAACAGATCTGGGCTACAGAGCTAGGTCCATCTCCACAGCAGGGACCCACCCTGGGACAAGCCGGTGTCCCCGAGTCTCAGTTTGCTCATCTATGAGTGGGAATAATATCAACTGCATAGTGGCAACTGAGCCAAGCTTTGCTTTTTATTAAGTTCTCAGAATCAAGGTGTATCTTCCTGCTGGACCAGTCAGGTGAATTCTCATGAGGTTCCCAAAGGTACTGATTATTAAGGGAATTATCCAAGAAGTACTTCCCTTTAGGGGAGGATCTGGGTCTTGGTGGCAAGGTGTCAGAGTTCAGTGAACCAGTAACTAGGACAAGGGACCCACAGGCGCTGGGCTAGGGCAATGGTGGGGTCCACGGAGGTCTTTATCTTTCAGGAGTTTGCATTTTGGTTGGGGAGGAGGGAAACTAACAGCATTTAAGCTGGAAAGAATGGATAAGTTCCCAAACTTTGTAGGGTAAGGGATGAGTGAGTATCTCTGTGTATCTGTCCATCCTTTGCAGACAAAGTTCCTCCCAACATGAATGATCTGGTGCTTGGGGAAGGTCCCCTGGAAGGGAACTTAGAAGAAGGTGTCAGCATCTTAGAGAATCTCCACTCTCTCCAGCTCTCAGAGAGGCCCTGAATTAAATCCTAGAGAGCCCTTTTCTATGGTCACCCTGTGACCCTGCAGCATCCAGTGTGTCTGAGCTCTCGCCGTTTTGTGCAGATGCCTTCCCTTCCCACCCCACCCCCCGGCCCCATGCACACTCCGAGCCTGGCCTCGGGTCGGTGCTTGGAGAGAGAACCGTACCCCGCTGGGCCTGAGGACCAGGCTGCCGTCTGGCTCCTGGACTGCAGACACACTAGACACTCAACCATTATGGGTCTGAGAATTTCCTAGAAAACTTGGAGCACCTCAGAATCCTGACACAAGTTCGTCTGGCTGGGGCCAGAGTCTGCACTTATGACCCCGTCCCCTGCAGATGCTGACGCACAGGGTTCCAGATAGGCCAGAGAGAAGAAAGCCTTGAGCAGAGGTGGAGCGTGGAGTAGGGTCACTGTGCTAATGCCTCGGGCATATCATGGAGAGTCAGTAAGACACCACCCTGTTTTGGGGGCTGTATTTCCAGGGACAGTCCCCTTATTCCTCACCATCTCCAAGATCCCTGCCCAGAAGGATTCAGCAAGAGTCTCTCCGAGGGCATGCATCTCCCTCGAAATAAAGCCACACACCCCTCTGCAGCCTACAAGGACGTTCCGCCCTGCCTACTCCTCTGACCTTGCCTCCTTCTACTCTGGCCACTGGCTCCTTGCTGATCCCTAACCACACTCGCCACCCCCAGCCCTTCCCCCACCTACTTGGGACCCTCTCACTGCTCTCCCCATAGCCGTCCCTGTGGGTCACTCACCTTCCTCCCGGCTTTCCTCCCAGACCACCTTCTCCATGAGTCTGTCCCTGACCACCCTACTCGGAAGACACCACGCCCCCTTCCGACACTCTGTGCTTTATTTTTCCTCTGTGGCACTTACTCTGATCTAATAAACCCTAGGTTTATCTAATAAACTTAGGTTTATTACCTAGGTGGTACATTTTAACTTTTAGGATCCGTTTCTCTGCAGTTGGGATTAAGCTCCATGAGGAAGGGATCTGATTTTGTTCTGCTTCTCTCCCCGCCGCGTCCCCGCACTGAGGATGTTGTCTCCTGCACAGTAGTAGTTTCAGCGAGTACTTGTGGAATGAAGGGAGATGAAATGCAGTGGGAGGAGGGGTCTGCTGCGGTGAAGACCGGCCACATTGCTGGTCCATAAAGCTTCACTTCAGGCTGCACTAAGGGACAGGGATGGCCTTTGGGGGACACTAGGATGCAAAATTAGTGCTTTTTTTTTTTTTAAAGACTTTATTTATTTGAGAGAAAAAGACAGAGAGAGAGCACAAGCAGCGGGGAGGAGAAGAGAGAGAAGCAGGTTCTCCACTAGCAGGGAGCCCCACAAGGGGCTCGATCCCAGAACCCTGAGATCATGACCTGAGCTGAAGATAGACGCTTAAAGACTAAGCCACCCAGGTGCCACATAATTAGTGTTTTTGGAGGCATGGGTGCTTGCTGTTGAAGAGGGTGTCCCCTCTCCTGGCCTCTAGGGCTTGTGCATGATGGATGGGACACCTCCACCACTCCTTTTACTGGCCACCAGCCCAGCCAGGGAGGAGCTCAAGACAGGCTCTGCCTAGGGGCAGGACATCTCCACCCCAGCACAGGGCCCTGCTGAGTATGGGACCTGGGGCCCAAGCTGTAACTCTCTATGCTTCCATTGCATTCCCAGTGAGGATCGTAACCATGCCGAGCACAGATCTTCTCAGCCACCCATCCCAGGCATCAGCTGCTCGCCACCGGCTCGCTCTGGCCCAGGCAGTCCTGGTCTCTCCTCCCTTGGGAGCACAGTTTCCAAGTCTGAAATGTCACCTTCCCTCTGCAAGTCTAAGTCCTCCTTGCCCTGAAGTTCCATTTCTTCCTCTAGGAAGAGAGCTCTGGGCACGTGCGTGTGCTGGGGTTGGGGTGATGATGAGACGGGATGAGGGACATCTTGTGAATTGTCTTCCTCACTCCTGACCTATGCCTCACATTTGAAAATCCTATTACAAATCCCGTGCAGATAGGGACCTGGTGCTAACATTTGCGTGTTGCCCAGTGCCAAGCCTACGGTGGTCTTCCATAGATGGTTTCTTAGTGAGCAAGTAACTGAATGAATGAGTCAGCACCACCTGTCAGGTGTCATTTCTTTTTGCATGTGAATGTAGACAGTGGCTTTAGTCACAACAACCCAAATGCCAGGTGACAGGTGAATGGATGAACAAGACGTGTTCTGTCCACATGGTGGGACACTGCTCAGCCATACAATGGAATGAAGCCCCGAGACACACTGCCAAGTGGATGGCCCTCAAGGACATCACTCTAAGTTAAAAAAAAGCCAGACGTCGAAGGTCATAGGTTGTGGGAATCCATGTATACGGAATGTCCAAAGTAGGAAATAGAGACAGAAGGCAGACCAGTGGTGTCCAGGGGCTGGGAGGAGGGGGCGTGGGGGGACGATGGCTTAGTGGCTACGGTTTTTTTTTTGGGGGGGTGATGAAATGATTTTGAACTCAGTAGAGGAGGTAGTCACAGACCACTGCCACGGAACTGTGTGCTTGGAAAAGGTTAATGTGATATGAATTTCGCCTCAGTAAAAAAATAAATAAATAAATAACCAAATGAACAGAACTAAGAGTGTAAAACTCTTAGATAAGTCATCTACTCCCGTTAGTCTTCTGGAGGTAAATCTTGAGTAATGTCAGGACTAGACAGCCTTTCCAGAGTAACACGTCTTTCTAAGAATAGGCTTGATCATTTTTCCAATACAAAAATAATTTGCGGCCACTGAAGAAACGAGAAGAAAGTTAATATTACCTCGTGTCACGAGGAACAACTGGTCCCACTTCTGTATGTGCTTCTCCTGTGTCTTTTCCTGCTTGTGCACGTGCCCTACACACGCATGTACGCACTCGTGAAACAGGATCTCGTTGCACGTACTGATAACACAGGTAACAATCTGGTCTCTTTTCTAAAGTTTCAAGAGCATATTCCATTGCTTTTGCCTTTTTTATTTGAGGTGTAAATGACATATAACATTGTCTTTGTTTCCGATGCATGACATGATGATTCAATATTTGCATGTACGGTGAGATGATCACCGAAGAAGTCTCATCGGCGTCCATCACCATGCGTAGTACATACAATTTCTTTGTTATTGTGATGAGAACTTTTAAGATCTACTCCCTGACTTGTGGTAAACTTCAGAGAAATTGCCACAATAGCTCATGTATCAGCAATCTTTCTTGTTATTCTGTGGGATAATGACAGGACCCCATGGGCATATGATTATTCGAACAGCAAAAAAAAAAAAAAAATGGATGTGATTCCTCAGTGATTATGTAACTCTGCCAGCACCTTGACCAATTCTACGTGGCTGGGGTAACAAAAATTGCTCCTTTAAAGCCAGAGCATACCCCACTGCATGGGGTTAACTATGGGCCTACAGAGACAATTGGTGATCCCACTTTCTTTCTTTTTTTTTTTTTTTAAGATTTTTAATTTATTTGACAGAGATCACAAGTAGGCAGAGAGGCAGGCAGAGAGAGAGACAGAGAGAGAGAGATTGAGGGAGGAGGAAGCAGGATCCCTGCCTAGCAGAGAGCCCGATGCGGGACTCGATCCCAGGACCCTGAGATCATGACCTTAGCTGAAGGCAGCGGCTTAACCCACTGAGCCACCCAGGTGCCCCTGGGTAATCCCACTTTCTTGATGACTCAATTGGATAATGTACTTGGGGATGCCCTTATCTCCTGTGACAAGCCTTCTCCCATTTGCCAGGGATTCCTTATAATTAGGATATAGTTAAGGCTAGACCTTGAACAAAAAGAACTTCTTGATGGTTTTAACTCATAGTTGTTTATCCTAGAAACCACCTCTGTTGATATACAATTGCAAACGAAGGCTTTATTTAGCCAAACATACAACATACGACAGTCCTTCTGGGAAAAAGAGCCTCAAAACTCACTATGGGACTTCCAGGACTTAAATAGGACTGCAATATAAAATAAGCAAAACATTGTACTTGCTCATCAGGACTCCAAGTGATACTTCCCAGGCGCTGATACACTCAGCCAATCATTAATTGAAGTCAGAGAGGGACTTTTCCAGAACCGTGCCACTATTAACTGCCTGCTATTGCTACACCATTTGGGGTACGAGGAACTTCCTCACATGTTGTTTTAATATTTCAGTTAATTCCTGCAAGTTGTCCCTATTGATAGGGGATATTTGTGATCCATTAAATAAGATCAAGATATCCACTCATTTATGACAAAATTGGTAATTGGAGATCTTAGCTAAAGGATGTGATCAAAATTCTGGGCCTAATTCTTATTTTATGTTCATCCTTTTGCATGTGCTGATGCATGTACCGATTACTGCCCATCAGGACCCCTGGGAGCCATACCGCGCGGGCCCCTGGACCAAACCCTGGATAGATTCTAACTGTCGCACAGCCCACCGCCTCATTTCAGCCGGAAGCAGCCAGAGTGGCCATTGTCCCATTCCCTGATGGCAGTAAGGGTTACTATTCCAGGAGGAGGAATGAGTAAGGGACAGGCAGAGCTAGTTAGGGAGAAATTAGATAAGGGGCTATGTGATCAGACTCACAGAAATCCCCAAAATGTGGGGGTGTGGGGAAACCAGTGATAAAGGAACAAACCAGACCACCCTGCCCTAAGCATGTGGGGTGGGTGTCTTTTTTTAAGATAATCACTTGTGACCAACAAAAATAACCAGACCTTAATAAAGAAGTAAGCCATTGAAGGTATCATCACTAGTCCTGCTCAATGGTGATAGAGAGGTTAAAAGGATTTAAGTTTCCTGGTTAGCTTTCTAGAAAAGACCAACCCTAAAGGCCCGTAGGGACAGCCCTATTGGGATCCCTCTCATTCCTGAGAGCTTTTTACTGTATCCTTGCTTAATAAACTTCTATTGCTTTACACACACACACACACACACACACACACACACAAAGAAAGAAAGAAAAAGAAAAGAAATACCTACTCTCTGAGCAACTTTCACATATGCGATCCTGTATTCTCAAGTCTAGTGCCATGCGGCACATGACATCCCCAGAACTTATTTTATAACTGGACATTAGTATCTTTTGACCGCTGCGAGCCATTCTACCCACTTCCCAACCCACCTCTGGCAACCATCAATCTGTCCTCTGCATCTATGAGTTTATTGTTTTCATTTGTTTGTTGGCTCATCTGTTTGGATTCCATATATAAATGGGATCACATGGTATTTGTCTTTCTGTCTGACTTATTTCATCTAGCATAAGGCCCCCAAAGTCCATCCACGTGGTTGCAAATGGCCAGATTTTGTTCTTTTTTGGGGCTGAGGAATATTCCATCATATATACACCTGCATTTTCTCCATTCATTCATCCATCGATGGACACCTAGGCTCTAAGCTCTCTCCATGTCTTGGCTACTGTAAACAATGCTGCAGTGAACATGGCGGTCCCCATCTTTTTGAATTAGTATTCTTGCTTCCTTTAGATAAATACCCAGAAGGGGAACTGACGGGTCATATAATAATTCTACTTTTAATTTTTTGAGAAACATTCGTTCTGTTTCCCTCAGTGGCTGCGCCAATTTATGTTCCCACCAACAGTGCACAAGGGCTCCCTTTTCTCCACATCTGGACCAACACTCATTATCTCTTGTCTTTTCTTTTCTTTTTTAAAGATTTTATTTATTTATTTGACAGAGAGAGATCACAAGTAGGCAGAGAGGCAGGCAGAGAGAGAGGAGGAAGCAGGCTCCCCGCTGAGCAGAGAGCCCAATGCGGGGCTCGATCCCAGGGCCTGAGATCATGACCTGAGCTGAAGGCAGAGGCTTTAACCCACTGAGCCACCCAGGTGCCCCCTCTCTTGTCTTTTCTGACCATAACCTTTCCAACAGGTGTGAGGTGCTATCTCATTGTGGCTTTGATTTGCAGTTCCCTGGTAATGAATGCCAGGTGTCCTTCCTGATAGAAACTTGGGTTCTGAGAAGGGGAGAACAAGGAGTCCACAATCAAGGGTAAATGCTGACAGATTGCCTGCTGTAAATACTTTGGACAAGCCCAGTCATGTGGGTCTTGGTTTGAACCCGCAGCCAACTCTGGCAAGCCTGTTTTCTTACCTGTAAGATGCCCATTTCCTGGATTACCACAGGACCAAGAGTGTGGAGATGGAACATCTACACCCTGTAGAATCTTGAAGGCATGCAAGGGGCCTGATGGTACACGCAGCTGGTTCCTCCTGGGCCCAAGGCCAGGTTTATACCCATCTCTTCTGCCACTACAGGTTTACCAGGAGCTGTAGGGAGAGCCGGGACGCCTGGCCCAGCTGGCCCAGTTGGGCCCAAAGGGGACAATGGCTCTGCTGGAGAGCCTGGACCAAAGGGAGACTCTGGACCATCTGGTGAGCAGCTGGGCATGGAATGCGGCAGTCTGCAGGAGCTGCCTCCCCTGGGATAGGCTGGTAGACGTGCACAGATCCCATCCCAGGAAGAAAGAGGAAGGTTGTTGAAAGGTGGCACTGGGTTCTTTCAGGGAAGACTGGAATTGCTGCTGCTGCTCTTGTTTTTTCATGTGCTCCCACCTCCAACAAGATTTAGTGTCACTGACTAGGCTGGTGCTTTCCCCCAGGACCTCCAGGACCTCGAGGTGTGCCTGGTTCAGCTGGCAGAGAGGGTCCATCAGGGAAGCAGGGGAGCATAGGACCTCAAGGCCCACCTGGCCCAAAAGGAGAGGCCGGTCCCAAAGGTAGGTGGTTGGTATATAGGCGGTCTGGGAGGGAGAAAGGAGGAGTTCGGTGGCATTCCGGGACAAGCTTGAAATGCCAGAGGGTCAGCGCTGGGTAGACTGCATCGTTGTGGCCCCTTCCCACCCTCCCATTCCCACACTGATGACATCTTCCTGGTCGCCTCCACGGAGGAAGCCCAGTAAGGAACACCTTGTCCCCAATTCTCTCTCTCGTCCTGGAGCGGTGGGTGAAAACTCCTCTACTGATCACATTCTCAGCAGCATTTGTCCCAACTGGTTCCTTCCTCAGGAGAAGTGGGTGTGGCAGGCAAGCCGGGCTCTGTGGGGACACGAGGCCCCACGGGTGTTAAAGGAGAGAGAGGGGCCCCCGGTGAGCGAGGAGCCCCCGGGAATGCTGGGGCGGCAGGTGAGTGATGGAAGGAGCTAGGGCCGGGCTCCAGTTCCCTTGTGTCCCCCTGGGGCTGTTGACGACCACCCCACCCCCCACCACTCATCACATCAGAGCTGACATGACTGGGCTGGGTAGGGGTGAAGGGGGGAGCGCAGAGATCTATGTCCAAGGAGGGTGACTGCTGGGCTCTGTGAGCTGTCTGCATCAAGGGAGAATGACACTTGAGCAACAGGGCTAGTCTGGGTGCCAGAGGGGTGGGTCATTTGTTGATGGGACAGTCAGTGTATGGAGGGAGGGCATGGCTGGGTTCTGGGAAGAGTCCATACAGGGGAAGGGGGGCCATAGGCTAGTTGGACGGTCCATGTCCTGGGAGGCTGAAAATTCTGGAAAATGTGTACAGAGCTCACTCAGCTCTTTTTCTGTGATCCCAGGACCTGCTGGAGCCATGGGTCCGCCGGGACCTCCAGGTGCCAAAGGACCCCCAGGACTGAAGGGGGACAGAGGTGCTCCTGGGGACAAAGGCGCGAAGGGAGAGAGTGGGATTCAGGGTAAGGTGGAATCTGTCAGATTTGGGATTCCCATGGGGTGCGGGCAGGGGAGGGAGGTGGTGCTTTTTCTATCAGGATAACTTATCCTCTCGGACTTCGGCCGCATTAATCATGGGGAGTGGTGGGAAGCAGGAAAGCTAGCAGGCACGAAGGCAGGAGAATTAGGCTCTGGTTCTAGACTTACTTCCTGGAGGGCAACCCTGAGCTGTTTTCCATCTGATCACGGGGGAAAGCATATCCTGCTTCCCAATTCAAAGGATAGCTCAGAGTATCAAATAGCCCAATGGATGGGAAATATTCCCATGCCCCCAAAAGGAGGTGCGATGGGATCCCCAGAATTTGGAGTTCAAATGTCATGCAGTTAGTGTCCGTAAGGTGCAGGGACCTGCTTGTGGGACAGTTTGTTCATAGTAGAACTACGGGAAATCTGGGGGCAATAGGGGCCAGTTATATCAGCAGATGTGGGCTTCTGAGGACCCACCCCCAGGATGTGCCTGCAGCTGGTCACCCTTCCTGGAGGCCTAGGATCTGGGCTGATCCCAGACTCTGTTGGGCTCACCTTCCCTCGGCCTCTCTCTTCGGCAGACATCACTGCTCTGAGGCAGCAGGTGGAGGCCTTACGTGGACATGTACAGCACCTCCAGAACGCCTTCTCTCAGTACAGGAAAGGTAAGTTCCTGGACCTGAATGGAGCCAGACATTGAGACTAGGCCCCTGACTGGGTCTGGGCCTTGCTTTGGCATTGGCTGGGCTTGGGTCTAGGATTGGAATGGGTTGGGACTATATTTAGGGCTCTACCTGGCTCTGGGACGGGGTCTGGGGCAGAGAATAGGACTGGGACAGAGCATACTCCGGGGTCTGCAAGTGGACACAAGAGACAGTTAAGAGGATGTGGCCATATCACCAGTTCAACAGGGTGACCGAAGTAGGATGGACGTTATCAGGTGCCATGATGCCCCCCAGCATCACAGCCACCTGTGGCCTGCTCAATGCCCTGAACCCTGCTTACCCTATGTCGGTCCCTGTGATAGACTGTGGACACCCAACCTAGGGTGCATTTCTTATGTATGCGGGACCCTGTGTGCACATGCCCAGGGGCATTGCTTCACAGCCCAAGGCAGCAGAGAATCCAGGCACTGTTCTGAGAGCTGGGGCTGGGATGCTGCCCTTGGGGTTCAAGGCTGGTGGGGGTTTGGCCTTGCCGTGTGGCCATCAGGTGCCTCACCTGGACATGCCTATGGTCCTGGCAGGGGGCTGGCCACCTCTGGGCTCCAGCCAGTGCTCTGCCTGCACCTGTCCGGGTGTTTCAGCCACCCTGGAATGCTGCTGAGTCGGGGCCCCCAGGACACAGTGTCCTGTGCCATTCAGAACCTCCACCTCAGTCCTTGACTGCCCCAGCTCTCATCTGCTCGACCTGACTTCAGCTCTAAGTCTGCATCATTCATCCAATCTCCCTGATCCAAAAAAAAAAAAAGAGAGAGAGAGAGAGAGAGAGAGAGCGACGTTTTCTGAAGGAGTAAAGCATAAAGGGGCCTGGCTGGGTAGGACACATGGTCAGTCCCTAAGTACCTAAGTAGCAAGGACGAGAGTTTCAGACATTGGTTATGTCCTCCTCCCTCCACAAACATGCACATGTGTTCACTCATTCCTATGCCCACCGCTGCACACCAAGCAGAACATGTCCGCAGGCCCCCGCCATGTGTGTGTACTTATCGCTTAGCCCACACCGTGACATTCATGAGCACGAGCAGAGGCGTGCACGCCTATCTGGATGGTGCGTGCTACCATCCAGATCTGGGCTATGCGCCCAGAGGCAGGAATGTAACGTGAACCCTCACGCGGGCCCCGTGCAGGCCAGCGCCAGGGGCCACAATGCTCCAATCCATCCTTGGGGAGCATCCGTCCCCTGAGCCCAGGCTGAAGCTACTGAGGAGGGAGGCCCAGGGAGGACAAGGCACAGCCCTCTAGGGAGCCCAGAGGACTTTCATCCCTGAGCCCAAAAGCCAAAGGGATGAGGATGGGATGGACTAAAGAGAGATGCTTGGTAAATCACATGGGTGATGCTTTTATGAGGTGTATGCCCACTTTAGAAATAAGGAATTAGAAACCCTGAAAAGGGGGGGGGTGACTTTCCTTTGCCCATCTAGACAGCCAGTGCCAGGTTGGGGCGAAACACCTGGCTTCAGATTCCCAGAGAGAGCTCTCCCGAATCCCTCCCCCTGCCTCCGCTCAGGTGCTTTCATCCTCCCACCCAGTACCCCAGGAAGGCTGGTTGGCTGGGACATCACCCTCACCCACATGCGTACCAAGGGGCCAACATGGGGTTGTGGTGAGTGCAGAGATGAGAGCATCTCTCGGATGCCCCCTGTTGCCCCCCACCCATCACACGGCAATCCCCAGACATGCTCCTAGGCAGGGTCCGTTTTTCACACTCTTAGAAAGTGCACCAGCCGCCACACTCATCTCCCAGGCCAAAGTTGATCCAATCCCCACTGGCCACAGCACACGACGTGGGGTGAAGTAGAAAGAGCATATTCCAGCTCTAGGGTCCCAGCAAACAAGGTTTAATCCCAACCCTACATTTGGCGGGCCTGTGACCTTGGGCCCCTTACTTAACCTCCCAGACCTCCAGGGTCCTCACCTATAAGTACAGACCACAAGACCTTCTCCTACCATGCACTGTGAGGTCAGGGGTGCTCTGGACCCAAGTGCCTCACTTTTATCCTATCTGGTGCCCTGATACCCCATAGGGGAGGCCTGGGGTTGGTGGGGGGCTCCAGTTGGAGCACAAAGTTCTTGGAGCCCCTGAGCTCAGGCCAGGTGTTGCCATAACCCCAACCTGGCTCTCCTCTTCTCTTAGTAGACCTCTTCCCCAATGGCCGAGCTGTCGGGGAGAAGATCTTCAAGACAGGAGGTTTTGAAAAGAATTTTGAGGACGCGCAGCTGGTGTGTATGCAGGCCGGGGGACAGATGGCCTCCCCACGCTCTGTAGCCGAGAACGAGGCCGTGCAGCAGCTGGCCACTGCTCACAACAAGGCTGCTTTCCTGAGCGTGACCGACGTCAAGACAGAGGGCAAGTTCATCTATCCCAGCGGGGAGCCCCTGGCCTATTCCAACTGGGCCCCTGGGGAGCCCAACAACAATGGTGGCTCAGAGAACTGTGTGGAGATCTTCACCAACGGCAAGTGGAATGACAAGTCCTGCGGGGAGCAGCGCCTGGTGGTCTGCGAGTTCTGAGCCGCCGGGATGCGGGCTGCACCGGGGAGCCTGGCCAGCGAGTGGGGGCCCAGGCCTGTGTGCTGCCAATGCCGCGGTCAGATGGGGCCGCCCCTGCTGGCCAGGGCTTCTCCACAGAGCTGTGGGCAGAGGCACGAAGGCAGGTCCCCGCACAGTGCCTCTCTCAGAGTCAAACAGCTTCGCACACGGAAGACCTGTCAGAGGAAGAAGGGGCCGGTGCTTTCCCAGCTGCAAGGAATAAAATTGGGTCCCCAAGACCTCCCCATGGCAAAGTCCAGTGGCTTCTCCTCGGCTGTTCTCCTCCTCCTCGAGCTGTCAGCCACGTTCGACCAGCTGCCCGGCCCTGCCCTTCCCTCTTGCCCCTTGGGGCTTCCAGAGCCGCACTCTTGCTGACTTTCGTCCCAGCCTCATCAGCCATGTTTTCTCTTCCCTCCTGCTTCTTGACGGCTTCATGACGCCATGCTGGCCTCTGCTTTCCCTCCGTTCTCTTCTGCCCTGACTCTCACTCCGGGTGGGACTCATTCTGTCCAAGGCTTCCAATTCCTTCTCCTGACGGCTCCCGTATGCATATCCCTGTTGGGGACCTCTCCCTGAACCCCAGGCTCCTCTAGCCAATTCAAGCTGGAGCGCCAGGGCTGGTGGGCCTCTTAGTTCAAGGCCGGAGCCCAGGAAGCGGCAGAGGACAGGGGACAGGCAGAGGACTCACGTGTCAGTGAGTGTCTGCTTCCCCGACTGTATGGCCCTATGCCCAGTAGACTGGGCCTCATCCTTACACAGCCCCGGATTTCTCTCTCTCTTCAGGTCATATGACTGCCTCTTGATCCACAGGAGGGAGTTCCAGCCACACAACCCTAGACCCATCCGCAATCTCGGGCCTGGACAGTGTCCAGCCGTGCTTACGTTTATCCCCCCAGCCCACCTCTGGCCTGGCAATGCCCGGAAGGTTCTTTCCCCACTCCGCCTCAGAGGTGATCTCGTCAAAGGCTCCTCATTTTACAGCTATGGAAACCAGGACGCGGAGTGGGCAGGGCGGCGCGCCAGGCCACAGGCGGGATCAGCACTACAGCTCAGTCCCGTGACAAAGGTCATCGGACCTCAGAGCTTAGACTTTGGGCCAGTAAATATTTAGGTCAAAGGCCTCTGTATAAATTTAGTTGACTTTATTACATGGTAGTCCAACATTTTTTTTTCTTGGTATTTTCTTTTTTTTTCAAATTTAGTGTTTTTAATTACAATTAGTTAGCATACGGTGTTACATTAGTTTCACGTGTAGAATGTAGTGATTCAGCATTTCGGTACATCACCCTGTGCTCATCAGGATGAGCACCACAAAGAACGTAAACAAGAGATGCCTGGGTGGCTCAGTCGGTTAAGCGTCTGCCTTCGGCTCAGGTCATGATCTCAAGGTCCTGGGATCGAGCCCCGCATCGGGCTCCCTGCTCAGCGGGGAGCCTGCTTCTTTCTCTGCCTGCTGCTCCTCCTACTTGTGCTCTCTCTCTCTCTCTCTCTGGCATTAAAAAAAAAAAAGGAAGTAAATGACACCCATGCTTAAGAAATTGGAATGACACATGAGGGAAGCACAGGCAGGCTCCTAGGAGGCGATCCCCTTCCCCTAGACAGAAAGCCAACCGCTCTGTCCCTTATTCCCAGACATCACAAGTTCTGCCCTGTCAGACCCTTCCTCAGTGGATTCCCCAGTTGGGGCCCAACACTCCTGCAGCCACGTCTCGTACATAGGACAGCTGCCTGAAAACAAAATCCTCATCTCCCACGAGCACACGGCTCAGGCTCTGTGCCATGATCTTTCTCCTGTTACTAAAAGAAAAATCCCCAATTCCTGGCAGCTTCGGAAATATAAGTCAGTTCCAGAGTAAGAGCAAACAACTTGGTAGCACACAGGCCACACCTGGACACACTCGCTAAGGGGGCTTAGAAAGGCCTTTCTGGGTTTTTTTAATTGCAAATAAGAGCAACTGAAATTGAATTTTAAGCGACATAGGAGCATTTCTTCTAAGAACAGAGAGTTCTGAGTTGGCCAAGGAGGACAGGGAGATGGGAGACAACGTCGCGCTGTCTCCCTGGCTTCTGCATCCTCTCCTCGTCCTCCTTTCCACCCCAGCTTCTTCTTCCCGCTCTCACCACTGCCCATGTAGGGGGAAACGTGTGTCCCAGAGATTGCCACACAGAGATGAGAAGCTCTTGCTTGATAGCAATTCAAAACGAGTCCATCTCAGATGCCCGCCTCTGGTCCAATCACCTAAACCTGGAGGGTAGGTCTGCATGGAACAATATGGCCACTGGGATCCATGTGGAATCCACTGGAAATGGAGGTTTGGGTAGACCCTCTAAAAGGGATCACTGCCCATCCCAACTCTCAAGCCGAGGCTATTTCTTGACAAGAGAGAAGGAAAGAGTGCAGCACTATGTGACTCAGTCTGAGGGAAAGAAATCTCCTGGTGTGTTGAAGGCTAGGAACGCCAAGACCCCAGACACTAGAAACAGACGGCAGATCTACCAGCACCACGAGACCACAGGGTGCTTGTTTGCTCTCCAGCTCCGAGAACAAGCAAGGAGGGTTATTCGGGCTCTGTAGACACAGCCTGACTCATGCAGAGGACTGAGGCAAGTATTTCAGAGAATTCAGGCCCGAGCCCATTTCTGAGTGTAGAGGCCTCCCTTGCAAGTACCTCTATCATGGGCAAAAGTCAACACAGATCTTAAACCTTACCAGCCCCATCCCAACCATTGAAGCCCTGGTCCCTGGTTTAGTAGCCTAGGTGCCAAGTAAAGCCAGGGCTGTGTGATTCTTGGGTTCTCAGGAGATGTTGTGACCCTCACAGTGCCAGGTGACATCATGGGAGCAGGCTGGGATCCTTCCCCGTTTGGATGGGGGACAACCACAGCAGTTTCATAAGGAAGGCCCTGCTCAGTTTAACAGAAGATTCTCAAGTCACTTCCTGGTTCTCGACCCTCCTGGCGCCAAACTAGCCCACGACCCGCAATGAAGAACCAGCGGGGAGACCTCTGACGTTTGCTCTTCCCGGATCCTAGCTTCCTTCCGAATTCCCTTGATATAAAAGGGAACCGCTTATGTTGAGGGCATTCTCCATCTCTCTTATCTTTTGCAAGTCCCAAGTCTACCCAAGGATAGAGTGTGCTTGGCTTTTCAAGTCACCCGTGTCTTCTATGCAAGAGCAGAGAAACCAGGTTTCTATCAGGAGGAGTAAAATAGGAATTTATATATCAAATATTTGTCCAGGCACTGGTTACAAGGTGGAAATGGTGGGTCCCGCCCTCATAGATGTTGCAGCTCTGCATACCCCTAACATTAGAGGTAAGCCGCAGACTGTGTTCCAGCAATGGGCAATCGAGATGCTCAACGATTAGAATTACATTAGAATCTAACTGAATCAGAATGAGTGGGGGAGTCTAAAACTCTTTAAGGGGGAGAATAGGGAGCTGTCTCCTTGCGGAATCTCTAGGCTCCTCAGACTCTCACTATTGTTCAGGGGAATTGTCTGTGACTGAGGCCTCTCAGTTGTGTTCTGTAGATTCGATCGTTTTCCAACAATATTTCAATGAGGGAGGCCTTAGGAAGGCTTGTGACATGTGTCACCTCTGGGAGGACGCAGATGAGGACCAGTGCACACCCCTCAAGTGCCCTCTTTTCTGCTGCCACTGTGATCACAGAAGGCATCAGTGGCTAGCCGGTCACTGTACAATCCAGCATTCTGGAAACCTGAGCAGATTCACGGAGCACAGCTGTCCTTGTGCATCCGAGGTGATCACTGCATCCGCTTGGGCTCCAGTGAGATTTGCGGGTTGTAACGGTAGCATCCATAGCCCATCCTTAACCACGGCACACCAGATAGTAGCCTCCGTGCCCTCCCTTTATTTGAGCAGTGTAATCTTTCAGACCACCTGCCTCAAACCCCTTTGAGCCCAGAGGGACACATGCGGGCCCTGCCTGAGCAAAATGGTACTTTTATTTTTTTTAGTACGTCGGCAGAATGAATGGAGTAAATACATGAAAGAGTTGAGTGAATGAAATCCTCAATTCCTACTTGCAAGTCTGTTTGTAGGGCTCCTACAAGATGTTTCCAGGCACTTTGATCTGAGGAAATAGCGCTGCGTCTTCACCACCAGGTTTTCTGCCCTTTTTTTGAGATCCCTGAACACTGCGTTTCGGGTGTGCGTGGCTGGGCCCAGGCCAGGGTTGAGAGGTCAGGTGGCAGCCTGGGGCCAAGCACGGGCAGCCTGTGACCAGAGAGCTGGGTCAGGGCAAGAAGAGGAGGGAACAACTGGGGCTGGGTTTTGAGCCAGCCTCATGCCTGGCCTTCTGGATGCCTGAGTTTGCCGGAGACTCCATCCCAAGTCCTTTAAGGACCTCATCAAGTGATTCCTAAGCTCTTAGGAAAGAATAAACATCCTAGAACAGTGAGAAAAATTTTTAAAATAATGAGAATGGGGATGCATGGGTGGCTCAGTCGGTTGGGCATCTGACTCCTGATGTCAGCTCAGGTCATCGTCTCCAGGTCCTGGGATAGAGCCCCAAGTCTGGCTCTATGCTCAACATGGAGTCTGCTTCTCTCTCTCTCCCTCTCGCCTCCCCCCACTCACACATGCTTTCTCTCTTTCAAATAAACACAATCTTTAAAATAAATAAATAAATAAATAAATAAACAAAAAATAATGAGAATGGACTTGGCCATTTTACGTTAAAAGGTTTTATAAAGCTAACCAAGTTAGTATATTAGTGGTGCTGGGATAGAGACAACGATGTGAAAACCCACAAGTACAACCCGGGTCCAAGGATGGGTATGTACACATTTGTATCATCTATGCATGATAAAAATAGAATACCAAAATAGTAGGAAAATGATGATAGCTCAGCTAATAATGGTTAAGCATTTAGAGAAAAAATTAAGTCAGATGCTTTTAGTTACATATAAAAATCAAAATCAGAAGAAAATAGAAGTGATGATTCTATAGTCTTGGAGGGGGTAAAAAGCTATCTAAGGGTGATAACAGAGAAGAAAATCCAAAATGATACTATTGATATGTCAGACAACACAAAAAATATATAAAACTTCTCTGTCAAAAAGTAAAACCCGGGGCGCCTGGTGTGTCAGTGGGTTAAAGCCTCTGCCTTTGGCTCAGGTCATGAACCCAGGGTCCCGGCATCGAGCCCTGCATCGGGCTCTCTGCTCCACGGGGAGTCTGCTTCTGCCTCTCTCTCTGCCTGCCTCTCTGCCTACTTGTGATCTCTGTCTGTCA